TTTAACCCTTCTTGCTCACCCAATAAAGCCCTCCAGGAGAGAAATGCCTGGCTGGCTCAGTGGGTAGAGCATGCGACTCTTGATCTCAGGGGTTGTAAGTTTAAGCCCCACACTTGGGTTGGAACTTACTAAAAAACAGGGGCACCTGGGTGGCTCAGTCGGTTAAGCCATTGCCTTCGGCTGGGGTCATGGTTGCAGGGTCCTAGGATTGAGCCCCACGTCGGGCTCCCTGCTCAGCGGAGAGCCTGCTCCTCCCTCTGCCTCTGCTTGTGCTCTGCCTCTGCTTGTGCTCTGCCTACTTGTGCTCTCTCTGTTAAATAAATAAATAAAATCTTTAAAAAAAACTAAAAAAAAAGAACTTACTAAAAAACAAAAACAAAAAAAAAACAGGAGAAAAATAATCCTATAAATGTCATTATAAGTTTAAATCATTCAGATTCTTTTTTTTTTAGATTTTATTTATTTATTTGAGAGAGAGAGAATGAGAGATAGAGAGCACGAGAGGGAAGAGGGTCAGAGGGAGAAGCAGACTCCCCGCCGAGCAGGGAGCCCGACATGGGACTCGATCCCGGGACTCCAGGATCATGACCTGAGCCGAAGGCAGTCGCTTAACCAACCAAGCCACCCAGGCGCCCCTCATTCAGATTCTTTAAGCACAAATAGTACAAACTCAAATATAATCAATATAGGAAAAAAACATGTTCAGCACAGCTCACCCTTTAACTAAATATATTTAAAAGTAAAATTTTTCTTTTGTAAACTTATCCTAATAAAACACAAGATCACAAAGGAAAAGATTTGTAGGTTTGCATAAATTTTTAAATATTTTTAACACACACATAATGGTAAAAACATGGAAAAACTGAGGGAAATATTTACCATATAACTGATATCTTTACAATACAAAGAGCTCATACAAATCAATAAAAACTGTGAACAACTAATAGGAAAATAAGCAAAGGACATGACAATCAGTTTATAAAAGGAAAAATAGAAGTAACTTATCAGTCTTTTGTACATTAAAATTTTCACTCAGTAGGGGCAGCTGGGTGGCTCAGTCCTTTAAGCGTCTGCCGTCGGCTGAGCTCATGATCCCGGGGTCTTGGGGTCTCAGGATCAAGCCCCCTCACTGGGCTCCCTACTCAGTGGGGAGCCTGCTTCTCCCTCTCCTCTGGCCCTTCCCCAGCTCTTGCTCTCTCTCTCATGCTGCTCTCTCGATTTTATTTATTTATTTATTTGAGAGCGAGAACTTGAGAGAGAGAGATCAGGAGAAGGGAGGAGGGTCAGAGGGGGAAGCAGGCTCCCCACCGGGCAGGGAGCTGGATGTGGGACACGATCCCAGGACCCTGGGATCATAACTGAGCCAAAGGCAGACGCTTAACCTACTGAGCCACCCAGGTGCCCAAATAAATAAATAAAATCTTAAAATAAAAATGAAAATAATAAAATGTTCACTTAGACAACAAATATTTAATGAGCACATAGTATCAGGG